GTTCAGAGTGGCTACTGTCAGGAATGCCTGAAGGTAACCAGGTCCAAATGAAATAACACGGCGGCTTCTGCTAAAGTGAGAACTCCCAGTTGTGCTCATTTATTGGGATAAAGTCCAGAGAGATGGGAAGAGAAGAGCAGGAGGGAGCACCCGAAGTGTTCTGCCCGAGTCCCCGCTGTGCTGAACGTGCGGGTCTGGGGGGCTCCCAACCAAGACGGCTGCTAGAGGTGAAGGGGGGCAGGGGGCAGTCCATGTGACAAAGACCGCCCCGACCCGGTTAGGAAAGGAATGGAGATGATTGAAAAACACAACACAAACACTCCCCTCCCTGGAACGACTAAATACTGCAGGTGGCCCTAGATGAGATCTAACCAGCCGACCTCCTTCTCCCTCACACACTCACACCATTCCTAATCGTAGGGAGGAAAATAAACAGCAATAAGGGCATTTTGACAATTCACAAAGAATATGATGGCAGCCAACCAGCCATTCTAAAGGTAAAAGTCACAACGTCAAATGGGGGGAAATGAAGTAAATTAAAATTAGTCGAGAGGAAGAAAGCTAAGCAGCCAAGAGCAACTGCACTGGCATACTTCTCAGAGCGCCTGCCGCCAGCTGGGTGGGAGTGCTCTGGTGACGTGCCGCCAAACGCACAGGAGGGGACTGAGGAGCCAGGGAGGAATAATGGAGCAAGGGAAAGCTGTGGAGTGAGGCCAGTCTGGCCGGGCCTTCTTACTAGCTGGATGACTCTGAACAGCTCTCACTGACTCATCTACATGACAGACTCCATGCTACTTTATGCCACAGAGGACTTCTTGACTCAGCAAAGTTCCAGGCCCAGAGCAAGTTTTTAATGCACGTTAGGACCCTTCCCCTTGTCGATAAGATGGCCCAACAGTGAACATGGTTGGTGCCAGGGAAGCAGACAGCCTGCAGTCAAAGAGATACTAGGTTTTTACTGCCTACAATACATGGCTGCTGAGCAAGAATGATGTACACAGAGAAACCAGAACGCCACGAACCATCTATAGGAGACCCAGACCAGAGGGGAGCTGGACGTCATGGCTGTTCTTTCTAGTACTTTCCAGAAAAGGAGAGCTGCAGACCACTGGAGGATCACTCTTAAAGCTAGTGAATAAAGACCTATGGTCAGTTTTCCAGGGAACTCATTTTCAAAGCCCTGTTTAGTTACTAGAGTACAAAAGAATTATTGAGGAACAATTTTTCTTTTTAAACAGATACTTAAGGAAATCTGCCTCCTGCTATAATGGACCACATCTTGCATCACAAAGATTAACTCGAAATGGATTGTACACATAAACGTAAAACCTAAAACTAGAAAACTTCTAGAAGAAAACATAGGAGAAAATCTCTGCACTCTTGAGTAAGGCAAAGATTCCTTAGATATGACACCAAAGGAAAATTCAAGGGGAAAAAACTGATAAATTGGATTTCATTAAAATGTAAAACTTCCACTACTGAAAGATACTGTTAAGAGAATGAAAAGAAAAGCACAGACTGGAAGAATCTGTAAAACACCCCAAAGGACTTATATCTTGAATACATAAAGAACTCTCAAAACTCAATAAGGAGAAAACAAACAGCCCAATGAAAAAATGGTCAGAAGATCTGAACAGACATTTCACCAAAGAAGAGATTTAACTGACAAACACATAACAAGATACCTAACATCATTAGTTACTAGGGAAATTCAAATCAAAGCCATAATGCGATGCCACCACATACCGTAAGAATGGCTTAAAAGGACAATACCAATACTGCGGAAGGTGCAGAGACATTGGAACCCTCATGCCCTGCTGACCAGAATGAAAAATGGTGCAGTCACTTTGGAGAACAAGGTGCCAGTTTCTTGTACACTTCCCATATGACCCAGTAATTCCACTCTTTGGTATTCATCCCAAAGAAATGAACACTTAGTTCATACAAACACCTGCACACAAGTATTTATACCAGCTAGATTCTTAGTTGCTAAAGACTGGTAACAAATGCCAACAGGCAAAATGGAGAAATAAACAGTGATACGTCCATGAAATGGATTTCTACTCAGCAGTAAGAAGGAATGAATGAACCAGTCATAGGCCCAACAACACAGACAAACATCAAATGCCTTATGATAAATAAAAAACTCAAGGGGTTACTTACTGCAACCTAACTGTCCACCAACGGATGACGGGACAAAGAAGATGTGGCGTACACACACACACACAAATGGAATACTACTCAGCCATAAAAAGAATGAAATAATACCATTTGCAGCAACATAGATGGGCCCAGAGATTATCATACTAAGCGAAGGAAGTCAAAGAGAATTATCATATATCACTTATACATGGAATCTAAAATATGATACAAATCAACTTATTTACAAAAACTGACTCACAGACACAGAAAACAAACTTACGGTTACCAAAGGGGGAAAGCGGGGAGGGATAAATTGGCGGTTAGCGACAAACAGATGCACTCT